AGTCTGAGTTGCTCCCCACAACCTGCAACTCATATCAGAGTACAAGTTCAAGTCCTGGCTACTCCACTTCTGACCCAGCTTCCTGCTGATGCACCTGGGAAGGCAGCAGAAGACGGCCCAAGTGCTTGGGTCCCTGCCACCCATGTGGGAGATTCGAATGGCTCCTGACTTCATCCTGGCCAGTTCTGGCTGTTGTGGCCACTTGGGGAATAAATTAAAGTATGGAAGATCAGAATCTCTCGCTCTCTCGTTCACTCTCACGCTCGCTCTCTATCTCTATCTCTCTCTCTCTGTTGCTCTGCCTTTCAAATAAACAAATCTTTTTTTAAAATATGCTAAATAGGGTTCAGTACTATGGCTCAGTGGGTTAAAGCCCCAGCCTGCCACACTGGCATCCCATGTGGGCACTGGTTCGAGTCCCGGCTGCTCCACTTCAGTCCAGCTCCCTACTGGTGTGCCTGGGAGGGCTGCAGACAATTGCCCAAATGCTTTGGCCCCTGCACCCACATGGGAGACCCAGAAGCTCTTGGTTCCTGGCTTCAGATGGGTCCAACTCCAAGCGTTGCAACCATTTGGGGAGTGGATGGAAGATTCTCTCTCTCCCTCTCTCTCTCTCTCTCTCTGTCTCTTTCTCTTTCTCTCTGCTCTGCTCTACCTCTCTCTGTAACTCTATCTTTCAAATAAATAAAATAAATATTTTTAAACATGCTATATAAACCCCTAGTTCTAACCACCCCTTTGAGATACTTGTCACTGACATTGTTCCTACATGTAAAGGTTATTCACGTGTTAACAAACTCTATTTCTCTCTTTGTCAGTATGATTTCCAGGATCCCAGTCACAGAGTCTCCTAGGGTAGAGGAAAAGGAGGTTTGTCCCCCTCCCCAGAGTTTGTTTTGAATGGCAGTGCTTTATCAGAGATGTCTTCTGCTAGTATTTCCTCCTGGCATGCATCACTTGAGAGGATGTTTCACAGAGTGGAAGTCATTAACTTTATTAAAGGTCAGCTTATCAATTTTTTGTTTTGTACATTTTTGGGCCTTTGGCATTGTGTTAGAAAATAACTGCATGGAGCAGGCTTTTGTGCTAGTGGTTAAACTGCCTCTTGGGAGGATCAAATACCATATAGAAGTGCCTGGGTCCAAGTCCTGGCTCTGCTCCCAGTTCTAGCTTTCTGCTAATTCAGGCCCTAGGAGGAAGCAGGTGATGGCTTGGGAGTTGGGTCCTTGCCACCCATGTGGGAAACCTGGATTGAGTTCCTGGATCCTGGTTTCCTAGCCAAGGTCATCTAGGCTTTCTCCCATGTTATCTTCTAGGAGTTTTAGAGTTCTGCATTTTATATTTAAGTCTGTGACCCACTTTGAGTTAACTTTTGTGAAGGCTGTAAGGTTTGTGTTGGTTCAGTTTTGACGTGTAGACATTCCAGATAAACACTTTAAAAGTAGATTGTTTTCAGGCCAGTGTTGTGACTCAGAGGTCAAGCTGCTGCCTACAGTGCCAGATCCCATATCAGCGCACCAGTTCCTGTCCTGGCTGCTCACTTCCAATCCAGCTCCCTGCTGTTGTACCCAAGTAGCAGGAAGATGGCCCAAGTACTTGGTTCCATGCACCCACATAGGAGACCCAGAAGAAGCTCCAGTCTCCTGATTCCGCCTAGCACAGCCCAGTCATCACTGCTACTGGGAATAAACTAACAGATGGAGGATCTCTTTCTCTTTGTCTCTGCCTCTTTCTGTAACTTTGCCTTTCAAATAAATAAATCTTTTAAAATTTTTCATTTTTAATATATTTTTATTTTTAATTATTTATTTACTTCTTTGAAAGTCAGAGTTATAGAGAGGGAGATGCAGAGGCAGACACAGAGAGAGAGAGAGGTCTTCCATCTCCTGGTCCACTCCCTGAATGGCTGCAAAGGCTAGGGCTAGGCCAGGCTGAAGTCAGGAGCCAGGAGCTTCATCCGGGTCTCCCACGTGAGTTCAGGGGCCCAAGCACTTGGGCCATCTTTCGCTGCTTTCTCAGGCACATTAGCAGTGAGCTAGATCATAAGTGGAGCAGATGAGCCTCTAACCAGTGCCTATATGGGATGCCGGTGCTGCAGGTGGCAACTTAACCTGCTATGCCACAGTGCCAGCCCCTATATTTTTATTTTTAAATGACACATAGTAATTGTACACATATGAATTGTACACATGTGACATTTCAGTCGATGCATAAAAGGTGTGATAATATGATCAGGGAAACAGATGCTAACCTGATGCAAATAGATACTCATATTACCCACACTCTTAGCCAAAAAGTCAAAAAGTGCTATTACTTTTGGTTATAGGTTAACACATGCTTGTTATAGAAACTTTCTCAAAGACAAACATAAAGGATGAAATTGAAATCGTGACTATTAACACTTTGATGAATTGCCTATCAGTTCTTTCCACATGTATTTTAATATGTTTACTTTGCTTTATTCTTGTGAACATTATAATATGACCATTTTCCTAATGTAATTAAAACTATGTTGGGGCCGGCGCTGTGGCACAGTGGGTTAACACCCTGGCCTGAAGCGTCGACATCTCATATGGGTGCCGGTTCTAGTCCCGGCTGCTCCTTTTCCGATCCAGCTCTCTGCTATAGCCTGGGAAAGCAGTAGAAGATGGCCAAAGGCCTTGGGCCCTGTACCCGTGTGGGAGACCAGGAAGAAGCTCCTGGCTCCTGGCTTCGGATCGACACAGCTCCAGCCGTTGCAGCCATCTGGGAAGTGAACCAGCGGATGGAAGACCTCTCTCTCTCTCTCTCTCTCTTTGCCTCTCCTCTCTCTGTGTAACTCTGACTTCGAGTAAATAAAATAAATAAATCTTAAAAAAAAAAAAACTATGTAAAAGTTACATTTTCTCTAAGTAAATCATGTGGTATCGGTTATAGGATTTTCCTGTGGTTGGCATTTTTCATTTCTAACATTTCCATAAGGCAGAGAGGAATATATTTGTGTGGAAATCTTCCCCTGCCCAACTCAGGTTTCAGCAGTCCCTCGATATCAAGCCACCATCGTAGACGACTGCCTCGGAGGAGGGAAACGGTGGTTCCCTTCATGTAACATCAAATTGCTTTCTAGGAAGCTTGAACTACTTTACAACCCCCTTAGCAGTGGATGAGTATCTATTTCCTCTCCATTCTCACCACTACTGCACCCGCCGTTTAAAACTCTTACAATCTCTGCTATAGCCTGGGAAAGCAGTGGAAGATGGCCCAAGTACTTGGGCCCCTGCACCCACTTGGGAGGACTGGAAGAAGCTCCTGGCTCCTGGCTTTGGATCAGCCCAGCTTCAGACATTGCAGCCATGTGGGGAATGAATCAGTGGGTGGAAGATCTTTCTCTCTGTTTCTCTTTCTCTGTGTAACTAGCTTTCAAATAAATAAATCTTTAAAAATTTAAAAAAATCCTTGCCAAAAGAGCTAGCATTGTGATACAGCTGGTTAAACCACCATCGTGACACCATCACCCCATCAGGAGCCCCAGCTGCTCTGCTTCCCATCCAGCTCCCTGCTGATGCACCTGGGAAGGCAGCAGATGATGGCCCAAGTGCTTGAGCCCCTGCACCCACATGGGAGACCTGGATGGAGTTCCTGGCTCCTGGCTTCAGCTTGATGCTGCTCTTGTTGTAGGCCTTTGGAGAGTGAATTCATTGGATGGAAGACCTCCCCCCTCCCCTCTCTCCTTCTCTCACTGTCACTCTCTTTCAAATAAATAAATTAAAAAAAAAAAAAAAAAAAAAAAAAAAAAAAAAAAACTTTGTGAGGGGGCCAGAGCTGTGGCACAGCGGGTTAAAGCCACCACCTGCAGTGCCAGCAATACCATATGGGTTTCGGTTTGAGTCCTGGCTGCTCAACTTCCAATCCAGCTCTCTGCTATAGCCTGAGAAAGCAATGGAAGATGACCCAAGTCCTTGGGCCCCTGTACCCACGTGGGAGACCTGGAAGAAGCTCCTGGCTCCTGGCTTCAGATCGGCACAGTTCCGGCTATTGCAGCCAACTGGGGAGTGAACCAGCAGATGGAATACCTCTCTCTCTCTCTCTCTCTCTCTCTCTGCACCTCTCCTCTCTCTGTGTAACTGACTTTTGAGTAAATAAATAAATCTTAAAAAAAAAAAAAAAACTTTGTGGGGCCGGCACTGTGGTGGCACTGTGGTGGGTAAAGCCAGCACATGCAGTGTTGGCAATACTATATGAGTGCCGGTTTGAGTCCTGGCTGCTCCACTTCCAATCCAGCTCTCTACTATGGCCTGGGAAAGCAGGAGAAGATAGTACAAGTCCTTGGACCCCTGCACCCACGTGGGAGTCCTGGAAGAAGCCCCAGGCTCCTGGCTTTGGATTGGCCCAGTTCTGGCTGTTGTGGCTATTTGAAGAGTGAACCAGCAGATGGAAGACACCCCACCACCACCACCACGTGCACCTAACTGTAACTCTGCTTTTCAAATAAATAAATAATTCTTTAAAAAAGTATACTTTGTTAGGGCATCCATTTAGACTAGGGATCTAGATGCCCATGTCCCACTTCTCAGTAACTGGTTTCAATTTCCAGCTCCAGCTCCTGAATCCACCTTCCTGCTAACGTGGACCCTGAGAGGCAGCAGTGATGGCTCAAGTAATTGAGTTGCTGCCACCGTTGTGGGAGACCTGCGTTGTGTTCTCACCCCTAGATTTGTCCCAAGCCCAGCCCCAGCCATTCTGGACACTGGAGGAGTGAACCAGCAGATGGGGGTGCCTCCCCCACTCTGACTCTCAAATAAATTCTTTAATAGAAATCTTTACTAATTTCAGAGGTGGAAAATTGTATCCCATTGTTATAGTTGCCATTTCATTGACTACTACTGAGGTTAAATAAAGTTAACCAAATATTCATTTGTTAGCCATTTGTGATGTATTGTATTTGTAAATTATATTTACACACTCACACATTTGAACGACTGTTTTATCCCAATTGCTTAATGTTTTTTGTTTGTTTTTAGGAAAACTGGAACAGCTTACATAAGAAAGATATTGCAACATGAGATTCCCACAGGATTTTTGTCCTCGGTTATTACAGAAATGATAGATCCTTTTGGAATAGAGGAAGTCAATGAGAGCTCGTGTTTGTCCAGCTCCCTTTATATTAATCAGTCTGGAAACTTCTCCTATAAACTTACTCTTGACCCCCAAAGTAAGTGGAATAATATAATACATCTCTGAGGGCTAGAAGAGATAAAAATGATATTTTGATATCACTGTTCATTTATGGAGCAATAGATTTCAAATATTAATCCAATTAGGAACTTACCAAAGTCACATATCCTTAAGGTCGTGGATTTGTTTCTAATGTAATAAAAAGCTATGTATAACTATATTAATATTTTATCAATCATACTATCATTTATCCCAATGAATTTATTTTGCCTTCAACAGTGCTAAGAAGTGAAATAGGAGTTATATGGCAATTAAAATTTTAAATGTACAAAAAGGAAGTGGAAAGTTCATATGGATTTTGCCCTAAATGATAATTTTGAATTCCTGACATATAGGATATTTTATTTCTTTTTAAAAAATATTTATTCACTTATTTGAAAGGCAGAGTTACAGAGAGAGAGAGGGAAAAAGAGAGAGAGGTATCTTCCATCAGCTGGTTCACTTCCCCCAAATGGCTGCAACAGCTGGAGCTGGGCTGATCCGAATCCAGGAGCCAGGAGCTTCCTCCAGGTCTCCCACACAGGTGCAGGGGCCCAGGGACTTGGTCCGTCTTGCACTGCTTTCCCAGATGCATTAGCAGGGGGCTGAGCCAGAAGTATAGCAGCTGAGACTTGAACCAACACCCGCATGGGATGCTGCAGCCGCAGGTGGCGGCTTTACCTGCTATGCCACAGTGCCGACCCCTTTGTAGGATATTTCTATTTCAAAGTACTATCTGATAGATACAAAGCAAAAATTAATTTATTGTCAAGATTTTGGATTTAATCTGAATAAATGGGAAGTCACTGGACAGCAAGGAAGGAAGCAGAGAAATCAGCCAGGAGGCTACTGCAGTGATCGCGTGAAAGATTAAACTTGACAATCCTGCCACTCATCCAAGGGGAGAAACCAGCGGGCATTTACAATTGGAAGTCTGGAGGCAGGCATCTGACCAATTGTTAAAGCATTGGTTAAGATTTCACATCCCCAGGCTGGCGCTGTGGCGTAGCAGGTAAAGCCGCTGCCTGTAGTACCGACATCCCATATGGATGCCAGTTCTAGTCCCGGCTACCCCTCTTCTGATCCAGCTCTCTGCTGTGGCCTGGAAAAGCAGTAGAAGATGACCCAAGTCCTTGGGGCCCCTGCACCTATGTGGGAGACCAGGAAGAAATTCCTGGCTCTTGGCTTTGGATCGGCCCACCTTGAGCTGTTGTGGCCATTCAAGGAGTGAACCAGCGTATGGAAGACCTCTCTCTCCTCTGCCTCTGCCTCTCTGTAGCTCTGCCTTTCAAATAAATAAATATTTAAAAAAGATTTCACATCCCTATCTTGGTACCTAGCTTCGTTCCTGACTCCAGCTTCCTGATAATGCAGATCCTGAGAGGTAATGGTGACAGCTCAAGTGACTGGGTTCTTGCCACTCATGATGGAGAGCTGGATGGGGTCCCTGGCTTCTGGCTTTGACCTGGCTCGACCCTGGCTATTGCAGACATTGGAAGATGAATCAATGTGAGCAGGTTCATTCTCTGCCCCCTCCTCATCCTTTCACTCTCATCTCTCAAATGAATTAATTTTTTTTAAAAAGACATGTAAGTCTGAAGTTCAGGGAGAAGGTCTGGACTGGTGAACTAAGAATTGGCAGCATGTGTGTTGTGTGATGGTTAATGCCATGAGATCGAATGAAAGCAACTGAAAAGGAGAGACTATGGGAAGGAAGAGGTTTGAGGTCTGATCTGGGGCATTCAGTGTTTGGGAGATGGGAAAGAATCAGTACAGACGAGATGGTCTGGTGAGGGAAGAACGGAGAGAGAGCACGCCTAGGGAGCCAAGCAAGGAAGGTGTTTCAGGGAGGAGCAGTGTCCCGGGCTCTCGCCACCAAGAGGTCAGGCAGGATGAGGGGTGAAGTCATCGGTAACCTTGACAAGAGCTGTGAGCCGGAGTAGCAGCGGAAGTCTGATTGAAGTGGTTCCCAAAAATCATGAGAGAAGACTGAAAGAAAATGGACAAAAGTAACTCCTTCAGGGAGTTTCACTCTAAAGGAGAAGAGAAAAATTGTGGGGCAGGGAAGGAGGGTTTTGGAAAAGATTTTTGAAATAGGAGAGAGCATGTAGATTCAATAAAGGGAAGTGTGGGGCTCTCTTTGGCTTTCTATTTTTTCAGTTTTTTTCCAAAATGGATGGATGGATGGATGGATTGACTGATCTGAAAGGCAGAGAAACAGAGAGATGGGAGGAACAGAGCGACAGAGATCTTCCACCCACTGGTTCACTTCCCAAATAGCCACAACAGCCAGATCTGGTCCAGGCCACAGCCCAGAGCCTGCAGCTCCCTCCTGGGCTCCCACATGGGTGGCAGGGCCGAGGCACTTGGGCCATCGTCTGCTGCTTGCTGCTTCCCGTGCACATTATCAGGAATCAGGATCAGAAGGAGTATAGCCAGGACTCAAACCGGCGCTCTGATCTGGCTTGACCTGCTGCAGCACAACCCCAGCCCCTGTTTCTGTTGTTCTCTGAGCAGAGAGTTGCTGCCCACGTGTTTCATGACCTGTCAGAAACGTGAGCCCGTGATGACCTCCCTCACCTTGAACAACCTTCCTTGGTGTCTCCTTGGGTGGGTTTTCTGCAGTGCTTTCTTCTTTGCCTGGAAGGTCTCTCTCCTTTCCTATCCCCTAGATGATGGCGCTCCACAGAACCCTGCGTTGGGGCCCCTTCTGGACCTCCATGCTGTCCTTAAACAACAAATTCTTCACCCACGCAGCAAAGGTTTGCAGCAAACACCTTCTGTCAAACACGTGTTTAGGCACTGGAGAAGCAGTCATGACAAGACTTCTCTTGTAGAATCATAACACTCCCAACTATGAAGGCTCTTAGCAATTCCATAGCAAAGACATCTGCTTTTTAAAAAATGTAGCTGTATATATTTGTTTGTTTCTACTGAAAGTAGAAAGTATAGGGTTTTTTTGTTTGTTTGTTTGTTTGTTTGCTTTATTTGACAGGTAGAGTTATAGACAGTGAGAGAGAGAGACAGAGAGAAAGGTCTTCCTTCCGTTGGTTCACTCCCCAAATGGCTGCCACAGCTGGCGCTGGACGATCTGAAGCCAGGAACCAGGCGCTTCCTCCTGGTCTCCCATGCGGGTGCAGGGGCCCAAGCACCTGGGCCATCCTCCACTGCCCTCCCGAGCCACAGCAGAGAGCTGGACTGGAAGAGGAGCAACCAGGACTAGAACCCGGCACCCATATGGGATGCCAGCGCTGCAGGTGAAGGATTAACCAAGTGAGCCACGGCACCGGCCCCTCAAGTATAGGTTTTTATGTAATATAATAATGATGCACTTTCTATAAAATTATTTAAATTGGGGATAGGTATTTGGTACAGCAGTTAAGATTCTGCTTGAGACACCCAAAACCCATATAAGAGTCCTGGGTTGGTGTTTGCAACTCTACTTCCAATTCCAGCTTCCTGCTACTGCGTATCCTGAGAGGCATCAGAGACAGCCCTAATACTTGAGTTCCAGGCATCCATGTGAGAGATCCATACTGAGTTCTAAATGCCCAGCTTCTATCTGGCCCTGTCCCAGCTTTGTGAGACTTTGGGCAATGAATTAGTAGATAGAAGATGTCTATCCTTAACCCCCTTCTTCTCAAATAAATAAATAAATTTTAAAAAATTATTTGAGGCCGGCGCCGTGGCTCAATAGGCTAATCCTCTGCCTTGCGGCACCGGCACACCGGGTTCTAGTCCTGATCGGGGCACCAAATTCTGTCCCGGTTGCTCCTCTTCCAGGCCAGCTCTCTGCTGTGGCCCGGGAGTGCAGTGGAGGATGGCCCAAGTTCTTGGGCCCTGCACCCCGTGGGAGACCAGGATAAGCACCTGGCTCCTGCCTTCGGATCAGTGCAGTGCGCCGGCCACAGCGCGCTGGCCGCGGCGGCCATTGGAGGGTGAACCAACGGCAAAAGGTGTGGGGAGCAACTCGGACTAGACTGTTACTGGAATTAAGACTTATTCTATGCATCTGCGCTCCCACAATATGGCGCTGGGAGAGGAGAAAACAGCTTCTACGCAGCTGCCTCTTGCCAACTTGAGTGATGACCTCCAGGAGCTGATCCTGCTCCTGATTGGAGGAGAGCAGCGTACTGGGCGTGTGGGCAGCCGAGTTGGGATTGGCGGAGGAGAACTATAAAGGAGGAGAGAGACAACATGCACGAGGAACATCTAAGGGGAACATCTGAGGGAACACCTGTGCAGCCCCCGAGAGAGCCGGCCGGCGGTGTGCCGCTCCCCTGCGGAAGTGGGGAAAGTGGCCATGGGGAACCGCCCTTCCACAGAGGTGGAAGGGACAGTAGCCAACCCGGGAAGAACCAGCAGCAAACCCGGGGAGGGCCGAGCAGGCAAAGGAACAGCGCAGGGTCCTGTGTCGTTCCTCCACGAAGACGGGGAGCGACAAAAAGGAAGACCTTTCTCTATCTCTCTCTCTCACTGTCCACTCTGCCTGTCCAAAAAAAAAAAAAAGAAAGAAAGAAAGAAAGAAAGAAAGAAAGAAAAAAAAATTATTTGAATTATAACCTGACATCTGGCAAATATGTTCTCTGGTTAGCATTTATAGTTTTAAACTCAAATAGTGCATTTATTAGCTGTCTACCAGTATGTTTGGCAGACATCGGTTATTTTATACCAAATCTTTTCTCTGTTACCTCCAGATGCTAAAGCCTTATTTCAAGATACAGACATAGAGAAGACGGTGGTGATTCCTGGTCACAGCAGCTTCCTAATCACCAGCATTTTAGATGGGAAGAATGCTTTAGCTATCGCTACCATGCCTAACAGGGTCCCCAACAATGTGACCTTTCTAAAGGACTCCTGGTTCTTGTACAACTTCGGGCAAAGGAATGGACGGACGTGGAATATATACTCAAAGCCGTGTAATTACTGGCTTCAGCAATCTGATGATTCAACATCCCTCAACATCGTGAAATACGTTGACCTGGGGAACTCCCAGAATTTAGAGGTTAAGATCATACCTAATACAAAAGGTAAGCTTGTTTTTATTGAGAAATATCAAAGGATATTAGTTCTTTTCTTGAATATGAACTATGATAGTACTTAAGAGAATCAAGAAATTGAGTTTATTTTGATGCAAAAGGGGTAGACATTGTAGTGTAGTGGGTGATGCCACCACTTGGGACACCTGTATCCCCATATTGGAGTGCCAGTTCAAGTCCTGGCTACTCCGCTTCCAAATCCAGCTTCTTACTAATGCACTTGGAAGGGTGTCCACCAGTCCTAAGAACCAAGAACATTTTTATAACAAAATATTTGAAAAGCATAAATTGTTTATATTGAACCTACATTGGCTCCATATAAGAATGGCAGGATTACACAAAACTAGGAAAGTTTTAAGATCAGAAGGCAATCCATAAGAAGTACTTGTTTCTTCCAGATTGGTTGGGTTAGGTCTGGAAAGTTTATTTGTAAAAAATGGGCACATTAGTGCCTTGTGGTTCATCATGATGGGATGTACATCAAGGCTCAACATACAGTCAAGGAATGTAAAAGATGCTTTCATTGTTTTTTTATGAAAGATTTATTTGTTTATTAGAAAGGCAGCATTACAGAGTGGCAGAGGCAGAAAGAGAGAGAGAGAGGTCTTCCATCTGCTGGTTCACTCCCCAGATGAATGCAACAGCTCAAGCATGTCAAGCCAAAGCCAGGAGCCAGGAGCTTCCTCCAGGTCTCCCACATAGGTGCAGGGGCCAAGGAACTTGGGCCATCTTCTATTGCTTTCCCGGGCCATAAGCAGAGAGCTGGATCAGAAATGGAACAGCTGGGATGCAAACCCACAGACAGAGGCTTAGCCTATTATGCCACAGCGCCAGCCCCAAAACACTATATTTAAAGGCTTACTTGAAATACAGAAGAAAGCACAACTAGGCCGGCGCCGCGCCTCATTAGGCTAATCCTCCGCCTGTGGCACCGGCACACCAGGTTCTAGTCCCGGTCGGGTGCCGGATTCTGTCCCAGTTGCCCCTCTTCCAGGCCAGCTCTCTGCTATGGCCAGGGAGTGCAGTGGAGGATGGCCCAAGTGCTTGGGCCCTGCACCCCATGGGAGACCAGGATAAGTACCTGGCTCCTGGCTTCGGATCAGCATGGTGCGCCGGCCGCGGCGGCCATTGGAGGGTGAGCCAATGGCAAAGGAAGACCTTTCTCTCTGTCTCTCTCTCTCACTGTCCACTCTGCCTGTCAAAAAAAAAAAAAGCAAAACTTATATGAATGAAATTATAGCCTTTGTTAGATAACCTGAGGACATCTGTTGCCACCAATATTGTGGACTAAATATCCTGAAAAACTTCCTTCTGATTGAAACCTTCAGAAAGTCTTTCTCAATAAAAGAAGACAAGGATGACCCATTGTCCATTTTCCTTCAAACAACTTTGAGTTTCAATGTTATGATTTGAAATTTCTATTTACTTTTTTATATTCTTTTTTTATTTATGTATTTGAAAGGCAGAGTGGCAGAGAGACAGACACAGAAAGATCTTCCATTCACTGTTTCACTCCCCAAATGGCTGCAATGGCAGTGCTGGGCCAGCAGGAATCCAAGAACTCCATCTAGGTCTCCCAGGTGGCAGGGGCCTAAGTGTTTGTGGTATTGGAATTTGACCCCTTAAAAATATATTGGAATGTGGCCCCTTAAAGTTCCCCAGAGGTCAGGTCTGGGGTGCCATATATCACCATATGCTTATTAATAAATCCCCAATATTAATAAGCCCGAGTGGGTTCTTGCCTAATATTTATGGAAGAATTCTAAATGCCGGCATAAATAAACGAGGCAGCATGGTACATTTTAAGCTTTTATTTAGTGAGAAAGATGCATAGAAGAGTGAGAGTTTTATCTAAGAGAGAGGGGTAAATCTGGGTTCCTACCAAGTACCAGGAACCAGCCACGTGGAGGAGCATCCAGGCCCGGAAGCCTAGAGCAGGTAGGCCAGGGAGCCTAGGACAGGTAGGCCAGGGAGCCTAGGGCCGGTGGCCCGAAGGCCACGTGCCCTGGAGATGACGTGTCCTGGAGGCACAGGGCTACAGCCAGCCCCCTCCTGGCAAGAAGCCAGGACAAAAGGAAAGGAGGGAAAGAAGGGGTGGACACACCCTGTTCCAGGCTTTTAATCCACTCTCAAAGGGGAGTGGTTAATTAACCTGATTGGCCAGTGGGTGCTCAGGTGTGGCCAGGTAGGAACATGGGGTCACACAGGGGCGTGGTGAAGGCATGGTCTTCCAGCTCACAAGCCTAATCAATTTTTTTTTTTTTTGACAGGCAGAGTTAGTGAGAGAGAGAGACAGAGAGAAAGGTCTTCCTTCTGTTGGTTCACCCCTCAAATGGTAGCTACGGCTGGCGTGCTGCACCAATCCTAAGCCAGGAGCCAGGTGCTTCCTCCTGGTCTCCCAAGGGGTGCAGGGCCCAAGCACTTGAGCCATCCTCCACTGCCCTCCCAGGCCACAGCAGAGAGCTGGACTGGAAGACGAGCAATCAGGACAAAATCTGGCGCCCCAACCTGGACTAGAATCTGGGGTGCCGGTGCTGCAGGCGGAGGATTAGCCAAGTGAGCTGTGGCGCCGGCCAAGCCTAATCAGTTTTAACCTGTATGCCTGTCTACTTCATTCCCCCCTCAGAGACTCCATCCCCTTAATCCTAAGGGGAGTTGATGGACGTCGAATCATCTCTCCTGTAACTGCTCCCTGCTTATGAGGGGCGTAGTGCAGGCCCTGCCTGTCCAGGGTCTGGAAGTCTCTGCCTAATCCTATCTAACAAATTCATTTTGTGAGCTGGAGCAGTCTCAGTAATTGCCAACGTCTGTGTTCCCTGTATGGTTAGTCACTCCCAGAAGTCGAGTTCTGAAACATATAAGTTTGTTAATTAGCATAAGCAAAACTGGAACAAAACCAGTTATAAGTGGGGTGCCCCATAAGATGCAAAGAACTTATCTTACAGAGTCCCAGATAGTAGGTAGTGATAGGCTACCCTTATGTAGATTATAAACCCATTTAGCTTGAGCATAGAGAATTATAATAGAAGAGCCTATTAGCTAGCTTTATCATCAACAGTTTCCAGAGATAATCAAGAAAGGCAGGTCCAGCATGTTTGTCTTAAGGAGACAAAGGCAAAAGCTTTACTTAGCCTTTTTGCTTTGAAGAGGTACTTAAGGTCTCTGATTGGCTTATAGGAACAGTCAGGCGTGTCTTTCGCATTCACCCGTGAAGACTTAAGAGGTAGACGTTTAATCCTGATTTCACGGAGGTAGCCGTGCTCAGTAGCACCTGGTCAGGTCCCTTTTATCTAAACTGAAACTGATCTGAAGAGGATCTTCTTATGAATGGCCTGCTCAGGAATTTCTAATGTTGGAGTTTTTTGTTAAAAACTCCTTGATTCCTTGGAACACCTTTGCAGCTCCCCTGTCCAGCACAGTGTCTGTTTCAGAGGCTTTTAAGCAAACACAAGGCTTAGAATCCAGATCCTGGAGTCCATAACAACTCCTGCAGCTACCCTTTTCAATACAGAGTCAGCATCAGGGCCTCTTTAAAGCTATATACAAAAGCTTGGAATCCGAATCTTGGAGTCCAGATTCCATAGACTCCTGTCATCAGCAGTTCCCAATACCAGAGCTTTAGTTAGAAGCTCGTTAGTTCTCTGGAACAACTTTTGCAGCTACCCTTTTCAGTACAGACTCTGCCTCAGGGCGTCTCTAAAGCTATATGCAAAAGCTTGGAATCCAAACCTTGGAATCCAAAATCCACAGAATTTTACCATTCCCAGAAATCTCCTCGGCTGCCTTAAAACATCCGACCCTATTTAAAACATACAAGATAGGAATTTTACAGAGAGACATGTGTCCAAGATTTTACATTTGAGTCACTTTTTTTTTTTAAAGATTTATTTATTTGAAAGGCACTTTTACAGATAGGCAGAGAGAGAGAGAGGTCTTCCATCCAAAGGTTAATTCCCAAGATGGCCGCAATGGCTGGAGCAGCGCTGATCTGAAGTCAGGAGCCAGAAGCTTCTTCTGGGTCTCCCTTGTGGATACAGGGGCCCAAGGACTCGGGCCATCTTCTACTGCTGTCCCAGGCCATAGCAGGAAGCTGGATTGGAAGTGGAGCAGCCGGGTCTTGAACCGGCGCCTACATGGGATGCCGGCGCTTCAGGCCAGGGCGTTAACCCACTGCACCACGCACCGGCCCCAACATTTGAGTCACTTAATAAGCTTTAAAGAAATACCTAAGAATATAGGCAATGGAGCTTGACACTTAGATATAACTACAACTTATGATTCATAATATCACACAATAGAACAAAGTAAATCTTTGGGATCAGGTTTTACCATTAAAGTTAATACTGTAGCTCTGGCCGTTGCAGACACCTGGGGAGTGAACCAGTGGATGGAGGACCTCTCTGTCTCTCTTTGTACCTCTCCTTCTCTCTGTGTGTAACTCTGACTTTCAAATAAATAAATAAATCTTACAAAAAAAAAAAAAAAAAAAAGAAGGAAGAATACATAAACTCTATGATTCTATATAAATTGCTAACAATATTTGCAGCCATTATTCAGCCTTCTTAATACATTCCTTAGATGTTCTAAAATGCAGATTAGTTGATCATCACTATGTTGAGGCTATAATTCTCATTGCGTAGTATTAACTGTTGACCTTGTTCCCATAGGGCTGCGCATACTTGAAACACCGCTGGTGGAAGTATTGGTTGGGGACCCAACTTTGCTAGAAGTTAAAGCCAAAGGCATTTTTGATGATGCTGACAGTTACATTATGGAAATTTCTGTAGTCAGCAGAGCTTTACGTCAGGTAAGATTTTCTTTTTCTTTCATTTTTTTAACCAGCTGAGCCAGCGTAACTAAGGAAAGGGGGACAGTTTTTTAAAATTTTAACTAATTTATTTCTTTGAAAGGTAGAGAGATAAACAGAGATGTAGAGAGAGAGATTTCCCATTGGCTTTTTCACTCCCCAAATGCCTAAAACAGCCAGAATTGGGACAGACCAAAAATCTAAGTCCCCTTCCTGGGTGGCAGGGACCTACTCCCTTGAGCTATCAGATGTGCTGCCTCCCATGGTGTGCATTAACAGGAAATTGGAGAGCAGAGGTGGGACTCAAACCCAGGCTGTGATATGGGATGCATGCATACCAAGTGGCAGCTTAACCGCTGTGCCATGTACCAGTCCCAAGACTTTCTTTACTTAAAAAATTATAATTTCTTTAATTATAAATAATCTATTAATTACTATTATTTAGCATATAATCTAAGAAAAAGAAGAAACATTTACATTTAATTCTACTTATCAAGGATCACTAAGTACTTTTTAACATGTTAGTTTTTTTGTTTTATAAAGGCAATGTGAAGGTACAGAAGAGAGGTTAAAAAGCATAGGTTCCACAAATCCCTGGGTGGTAAAAATACCATCTTAGGTGTTAAAGTAATCATATGATAGGACTAAGTGTCTGGTAATAATAATAAATAGAATTAAAAAGGAATGAATGTTCTAACATGGGAAGCAGTCCACACAGCAGACTCATAGAATGACAACCGCTTTAAGTAGTACTCTGACCTCAGAATCAGCCATTAAGGCATTCTGGTCTGGCTGAAAAAGCCCACAAGACATTTCAGGCATGAAAAGCCAAGACACTGTGTAACTCTAACTTTCAAATAAATAAATCTTTAAAAAAAAAAAAAAAGAAAAGAAAATGAAGGAATCCCCATGGTTCTGAGTTGGATGTAATTATAGAGTTTAATTTAATAAATCCTCCTGGATGCTGGCCCACTGCCAAACATTTGCCAAATATTTGGAATATATTTCTTCCTGGAGAAGAACACGTTGTCTTTTATGCTCTATTCTCAAACAGATCTCTACAGGCAGACTTACTCTAATTTTACTATTTCTCTTTTGCCATTTCTTTTCTGCATCCTTGAGTTGTTTTCTGAATTGGTTTGTGAGGGCTGCCGCAACAAAACAGCACACGGTCGGCAGCCTCAACAACAGAAATCTGTTCCCTCACAGTCCTAGAGGCCACAGTTCCAGGAGTGGGCTTCTTCTGAGGCTCCTCTTCTCGGCTTGGTGACGGCTGTATTCTCACTGTGTCTGCATCTGCTCACCTTTCTGTTTCTTGTGTGTGTCCTAATCCCCTCTTTATTTTTTTTTAAAGATTTGTTTATTTGAGGGCAGAGTTACAAAGAGAGAAGGAAAGATAGAAAAATATCTTCCTTCCACTCTTTTACTCCCCAAATAACTGCAACAATATGGGCTCCCACATGGGTGCCATGGGTCCAAGTACTTGGGACATCTTCTGTTGCTTTCCCAGGCACATTACAGGGAGCTGGATTGGAAGTGGAGCAGCCAAGACTCCAACCGGGGCCCATATGGGATGCTGGCGTGGCAGGCAGTAGCTTAACCTGCAACACCACAGCACCAGCCCCCTTAATCTCTTCTTCTTACAAGGACACCAATTATATTGGATTAAGGGCCACACAAATAACCTTATTTTACCTTAATTGTCTTTGTAAATTGTTAAATCAACAACAGCAGTCACTGTGCACCTACTCCCCATGTAGGACCTCTGCCCTTAATGTGTGGTACTATGAGAATGAATGGTAAAACTACTACTCAAACAGTACTCTCTACTTTGTGTGTCTTTGTGGGTGCAGTCTGTTGAAATCTTTACTTAGTATATACTAAGTTGATCTTCTGTATATAAAGATAATTGAAGATGAATCATGATGAAGAATGGGATGGGAGAGGGAGTGAAAGATGGGATGGTTGCGGGTGGGAGGGAGGTTATGGGCGTGAAAAACTGCTGTAATTCAAAAGTTGTACTTTGGAAATTTATATTTATTAAATAAAAGTTGAAAAGAAAAAAATTGTCTATTCTGAGATCCTAGGGTGAGAACTATGACATAGGAATTCTGGGTTGACACCACAGTCACTTTAAATCACCGTTACTGTTTGGATGTCTCCAGGGTTCGACGTCGCTGGCACTGGTCGTCTGGGAAGCAGCGACAGAATGCTTTGTTACAACGATCGTGCCCACGCTGAAGAGCAGCTGCAGTTACCTCCGAGCCATGCGCCACATTCCGAGCGAATCCATCCCAGTGGAAGACTGGATCCAAGGAGTCCACAGAGACAGCCAGGGTTTCAACATGATCAAAACTCTGCCGGTAAAAAGTCTATCGGTTTGAGAGTCCCAGCGGTGCTGTGCCTCTGTGGGGCTGGGCAGCCATCCGGCTCTGACATCTCTTTCCCGAGATACTCGGATCACCTCATAGCTGCTTCCCAGCCCTCACATCATTTTGAGGATGTGGTGATCACTTCTTTTTTAAAAAAAAAAATCATTTATTTATTTGAGAGGTGGAGTTACATACAGAGAGAGGAAGAGACAGAGAGAGAGAGGTCTTCCATCCACTGGTTCACTCCCTAAATGGTCACAATGGCTGGAGCTGTGCCGATCTGAAGCCAGGAGCCAGGAGCTTCTTCCAGGTCTCCCACATGGATGCAGGGGCCCAAGGACTTGGACCATCTTCTACTGTTTTTCCAGACCATCGCAGGGAGTGGGATTGGAAGTGGAGTAGCTGGGACTTGAACTGGTGCCAATATGGGATGCTGGCACCACAGGCAGAGGCTTAGCCTACTACGCCACAGCACTGTCCCCATAATTCACTTCTATAATGTAAAACTTTCTGCAAGAGTGATTTTTCTTGGTCACTCAGTCCCATCATTATCAAGATCTTTTATGCAGTGTTGCCGTGCTGCAGTCTTGGATGCTGGTGATATCTACAGCTGTTTAAGTAAATCTCACTGGTCCCATTTTAATTTTCCCCTTGTCCAAATCTACCACTCTTTTTTAAATGCATATTTTTACTCTTTGTAAATTACCTAATTTAGGGTAATTTTCTCTTTTTTAAGATGTACTTACTTGAAAGGCAGCTACGGCAGGGTGGTGGGGGAGAGGGAGAGGGAGAGGGGGAGAGAGAGGGAGAGAGAGTCTTGTATGCACTGGTTCACTTCCCAGATGGTCACAATGGCTGGGGCTGGACCAGGATCTCCGCCTGGGTCTCTCACATGGGTTCAGGGGCCCAAACACTTGGGCCATCTCCTTCTGCTTTCCCAGACACATTAGCAGGTGTGTGAATCAGCAGTGGAGCAACAGAGACTCGAAGTGGTGTTCACATGGGAGCTGGCATCGCAGGCAACAGCTTAACTCACGGCATCATGATGCCAGGCCGTTGTGATTTTCTTTGCGACAAAAAGCAAATAGCCAAATTTGAAAAATTATTTACCAATATGTCATTAAGGCTCTTTTAAAAAAATTTTATTAATTAATTTGAAAGGCAGAGTGACAGAATCAGAGAGAGGTAGATGGAAAGGGGGAGGGGAGTAGGAGGGAGAGGGAGAGGGAGAGGGAGATCTCTACCTGCTGGCTGACTCTCCAGATGGCTGCAACAGATAGGTCTGGGCTGGGCCAAAGCCATGAGCCAGGAACTCCATCTGGGTCTCCCACATGGGTGGCAAGGATTCGAGAACTCAGGCCAGCATCTACCACCTTCCCGGGTGCATTAGCAGAAAGCCGGATCAGAAGCAGAGCCACCAGAGCTCAAACCTGTACCCTGATAAGGGATTCTGGCATCATAAGTCACAGCTTAAGCTACTGCACCACAATGCTGGTCCCACTAAGGCCCTTTAATAAACTATTTAACATCATTGCATTGACTTTATGGCAGCTGTATTAGCTACTAAAAATATTTTTCACTTATTAACAAGTTCCAAGTTATATTATCATTGGTTCAGTTGTTGAATTTCAGAAAATGAGTAGGAGTGTTGAGGGAATATGAATTTAATGCCTGGAGCTAAAAATGAAATATTTACATTGAATGTTTTTCTGAAAAATCAAGATTTTTAAAGTCGTGAGAAATAACAGTGAACTGTAGCTTTTCTTTGTTTCATTACTTGCAGGTAAACTACAGGCCCCCATCTAATATGGGAATTGCTATTCCACTTACAGATAATTTTTATCATGCAGATCCTAGCCAACCCATACCAAGAAATCTATTTCACAAGTCAAAGGTAAGTCGTTTTTCTACAAATAAATTAGTGCAGTATTTCTCTGTATCCAATAAGTCATTCAGAAGATTAACAATGGACTTAGCTATCCATTAAATAAGAAGATACAGTATTTTTTTTCAAAGATGTATTCATTTATTTGAAAGGTAGAGTGATAGAAGGAAGGAGGATATGACAGGGGGAGGGAGGAAGAGGAGCAGAAAGAGAGAGGGAGAGAGAGATACTGATCTTCCATCCATGGGTTCACTCCATAAATGCCTGCAACAGCTGGGCTGGACCAGGTTGGAGCCAGAAACCTGGAGCTCCACCTGGTTCTCCCACATGGCATCGGGGATCCAAGTACTTGGACCATCATCCACTGTCTTCCCAGGCACATGATCAAGAAGGGGGGCAGAAGCAGAGGAGGCAGGAGTCTACACTCCAATATGGAATGTGGGCATCCCAAGCAGCAGCCTGCCCCGCAGCACAACGCCTGCTCTATGCGGGTATCAGTATCACTACCACTGCTACTCCTCTGTCTCTGGCTGTCCAGCCTCCTGTCCTTTAACTGCTGTTCTCGGGGCCATGAAATCTAAATGGACTCTCCCTGACTCTCCCTGGCTCCCGCTGGATTTTCAAGGGGATAGTGGGATGAATGCAGCTTATCTCAAATGAAAGGAGCCCCAGCTCCTCCAGCTCAGGCTTCCAGCCCTGCGAAAGGAGGGGCGTCCAAAAGGAAAGAGACAGCCTGCTCCAAGTCGGTCCATTTAAACTCCTGCTAAGGTTCAAACCCCAGCAGCCCCTGGCATCTCTGGAGAGGAAAACAGGGAGGAACTACTATGTTCAGAGGAAAAGCACATGATGAGGATGCTTCTTGCAAGCCTCATGGGTGCCTGCGGACTCCTCTCTCCAGAAAAATGCCCCTTCCTGCCCAGGTACGTATACAAATAGGCTTTCATGTCTGTTCATACACACGTGCACAGACACAATCCAGCTTCCTGCTAGTGCTGGGACAGCAGATGATGATTCCAGTCTTCAAGTTCCTGCCACCCACGTGGGAGACCAGGAGTGAGTTCCTGGTTACTGGCTTCAGCCTGGTCCAGCCTTGATGTTGTGGGCATTTGAGGAGTAAATCAGTACATGGAAGCTCTCTGTCTGTCTCTCTCTTTCTCTGCCTTTTAAATAGAATGAAAACAAATAATTGGGGGGAAAAAAGGTTGTATCAAAATAACAAACATCTACATGCTCTCCTAGAAAAACTCCATGAAACATTGGTAAATAGATTTTTCAAATAGGATGTATCAGTGTAGGAGGTAGGTAGGTAGGTAGGTAGGTAGGTGGATAGATAGATAGATAGATAGATAGATAGATAGATAGATAAAGAAAACAGAAAATTTGAGGAATCTCTGAGACAGAAAGCAAACAGGATGAGATGCACAGAGAAATGTAACTGCAAGAGATCTTTTTGTGATGCCTGCAGAGGGAGGGGCTCAGGGCAGGGAGTTTGGCGGCCCTGATGTGCCACTTGCAAAACCACCCAGGCTTCCCAGGTCCCAGGCAATGCACTGAGGTCCACTGGCAGGCAGCTGAGTTGTCCGTGGGGTCAGCCTGCTGTGCAAGGAGATAAATAAAATTGAGAAACTGTTCTTACACTCCTACTTTGTTCTTAATGGTTTTTATTTCCCCCTTTTAACTTCTCAGGAATTTTACTTATTCAAGGAACAAATATTTCTTGAATGTGTACTCAGTTTGCTCAGTCAACCCATGTGGCTTCTCTTTGCAGGAAGCTGGTAAATACAAACAGTGTGCAAATGTGTCCACCCGGGAGGAGTGTAACTGCACAGACGCCCAGAAGTTGTCGTATGCTGTCGCTTTCTCCGACTGCAGAGAGAAAGTAAGACAACACTCGGTTACCTGCACACAGTGTACTTTCATTTCAGCAAAGCTTTGAACATGAAAACTAAAATGTAGAATTATTGTCTCTTTATGACATGGATCTAAATATGACACAGAGAGATCAGGATCTGAATGTACCTAGACAAGCTAACTAAGCTCATCAGCGATATAACACCTACACTGCCCTAAGGCATGGGATCGTTGTAGAGACACATACACCCTCACACGCTTCCCCGTGTGAAAGAAATGTGGCATCTGTGAAACACTGTTCCAGTTCAACAAACTGGAATATCTCCTACATAATAGGTCCTCGAGTATAGAGGTTGAAGCCCTTGTCAGGAGCTCAGTCCAGAAAAAAGTTTAATATGTTGGCTAAGAGAATGAGCTCTGTATCAAATAATATTTTATTCTATTAGTATCAAATGTGTATCAAGTTAATGGTGTTTGTATTAGTAGAGTTAAATGTGCAGTTGGTATGATTTCCAAGGAGATCTATTTCAAAGGCTTTATAAGAACATATATGGAGCCGGCGCCGCGGCTCACTAGGCTAATCCTCCGCCTTGCAGCGCCGGCACACTGGGTTCTAGTCCCGGTCGGGGCACTAGATTCTGTCCCGGTTGCCCCTCTTCCAGGCCAGCTCTCTGCTGTGGCCAGGGAGTGCAGTGGAGGATGGCCCAGGTGCTTGGGCCCTGCACCCCATGGGAGACCAGGAGAAGCACCTGGTTCCTGGCTTCGGATCAGCGTGGTGTGCCAGCCGCGGCAGCCATTGGAGGGTGAACCAACGGCAAAGGAAGATCTTTCTCTCTGTCTCTCTCTCACTGTCCACTCTGCCTGTCAAAAAATAAAAATAAAAAAATTTAAAAAAGAACATATATGGAGACTATATATATGTGTGTGTGTATATATATATATATATGACTATATATGTTCTACGCAGGGAGACTGCATATATTATGTGGGTTATATATATAAATGACTATATGCTATAGAGAAAGACTGTATATTATGTGGACTCTATATAGGTGTAACTATATATGATGTAGAGACTGTATATGCTGTATATCAGCTTTCTACAGTGTTATTGATTTTATGTACATATCAAAAGATAAAATCACTTGCAACAACATCGGGCTAGAGTCAGCATTCAGTAAGTTGTGAAGGTTGTGCTTATATACCCCCTTGCTGAATTAAAATAGCATTTCTTGAGCACTTACTCTCTATCAAAAACACTGCTTCCAGCTTTCTCCGTGATTCATCTCATTTAGTGCAAGTCACAAAGAAACCAGGCAGTTTGACAGACATCATAATGTTAATACGTGTGAGAGCCAGGTTTGAATTCTGACTACAGAGCCTGAGTTTCCAATGCTTGAAAGACTGAGAACTGGCAGAGAGACAGGTGTGAGGGTGTAGGCAAGACCCAGCTTGGGCAAGACCTTGTAGCACAGGAGTTAGCCAGAAAAGAATCCCAGTAGAAAGTTATGGGTTTCATTACCATGTTTGTCTACCGCTTTTGAAGAGTTCACATAGATTCTGCCGCAAGATAAACTTTTTCATGCCTGAAGAGGCAGAAGCCATCAAAAAGCACATTTAGAATAGCCAAACTACCAGGAATTTATCTGTTCATTCTCAACCAGGAAATGGAATTAGTATTAAATTTTGCAAACTCATATTCATTCTCGGAATTTGTATTTTAGGTTCCTCGTTTTAAGTTTCCAGTCACACAATATCCAGTTTCTTTGAAAATTTTCAATGAGTCTGTACTTATCCCAGTGAAATCTCCATATCTGGTTACTGTGACTGAAGTGAATTTGAGGAAAAACTGGCAGCTAAGTAGGATTTGCTTTCTTCTATAAGTATTTTGCCTTATAAGTAATGTTCTTGTTACTGCTTTGCAAAATCTGTTTATACCAAGAGGTAGCCAGGAGCTCTTTAGAAAAGGATTCAAATCAGTTGGCACGGTGCTGCTTGCTTCTGCTGTCTCCCATTTATTTCCTACTCGCTTCCAGTGGCCTGAATTCTATGGCATAAAAGCATTTTTTAAAAATTTGAACTACAGGGGCTGGCATTGTGGCATAGCAGGTTAAGCCACCGCCTGCAACGCCACCATCCAATATGAGCACCAGTTTGAGTCTCAGCTGCCCCGCTTCTGATCCAGCTCTCTGCTAATGTGCCTGGGAAAGCAGCAGAAGGTGGCCCAAGCACTTGGGCCCCTGTCTCCTATGCGGGAGACCCAGATGGAATTCCTGGCTCCTGGCGTAGGCCTGCTTCATCACCTGCCATTGTGTCCATTTGGTGAATGAACCAGCAGATAGAAGATTTTTCTCCCTCTGTCTCTGTAACCATGCCTTTCAAATAAATAAGATAAATCTTTTTTAAAAAATGAACTACAAGATGAATTGAAAGGCATTTTGTAAATTAGCGGCAGCAATGATTGAATTGGTGCTACACTCTGGTCTAGTGTCTCATATATTCTGTGTTACAGAGGAGATTACGAAAGGTGTTGCCAGATAATTACAGAATCTGTCTTCTAACTATGAGTAAAGCTTATTAAAGACTTTGTGATAAAATAATTGAAGAGATGCATAAAAATTTTTAAATAATTTAAAGAGGAAATATATCTCTATTCAGTTTTATCTCAAATATACAACTTTTTGTTTCACGTTTTCTTTGTTCATACATGAGTATTTGTGGGCGATAGCTGATAGATACATAGACTAATAGATAAACAGGGCTGGTGCCGTGGCTCACTTGGCTAATCCTCTGCCTGCGGCGCCAGTACTCTGGGTTCTAGTCCCAGTTGTGGCGCCGGTTCTATCCCGATTGCTCTTCTTCCAGTCCAGCTCTCTGCTGTGGCCAGGGAAGGCAGTGGAGGATGGCCCAAGTGCTTGGGCCCTGCACCCACATGAGAGACCAGGAGGAAGCCCCTGGCTCCTGGCTTCGGATCAGCGCAGTGCGCTGATCTCTCTCACTGTCTAACTCTGCCTGTCCAAAAAAAAAAAAAACAACCTAATAGATAAACAGGAAGAATTAGTAGACTTTCACCCTTCTGGTTAAGATACCCCTTAGGATGCCTGCATATCACAGTGCCTGAGTTCGAGTCCTGGCTCCGCTCTGAATTCCAGCTTCCTGTTAATGCACACGGGGAGGCAGCAGGTAATGGCTCAAGTAGTTGAGCTTCTGCGCCCGGACTGAATTCTGGCTTCTGGGGCCCAGCCTTTGTCATTGTGGGCTTTGGAGAATGAACCAGTAGATGGGAGCTCTCTGTTTCTCAAATAAATAATAAAATAAATTTTAAAAAGAGCTGGCTAGAAATTTAGATCAATCATTAATGTGTTACTGAATATCCAGACATTCGGTGTTCAGTGAGTCTTACTCCACCTGACATGTATCCATTTTTGAAATGAAAAACTCAGTGAAGGGAAACTACCAAATAGTTTGCTTTTACTGACATCTCCATTTGCTGTGGTGTGCTGGAGGCTGCTCTGACCAGATCTGGAGAACTCATAGTGATCATTTTACAAGCTGGCTGCTCAATCACTGGACGCTTGACACTAGCCACGTGGGAGTACTCATACCACGGAAATTGGCAAGATGCCACAACACTCATCTTATTTTCCTTTAGATCCCGTGTGCCACAACAGCATTGCAATTTCTAACCCCTACACGACCCCCCAGGTTTTAGAAAGAGCGACAAGCAAGGCATTGATTGACATGTGCCCACTTCTTTTGGAATGGATTTAAGTGATCCAGCTGTGAAACATTCCTGCCACCCTACTGAAAGTCATTTGCCCACCACCAACAAGGCCATGAGATGACCTCGCTGCTTAGAACAAAATGACCGTGCAGGTCAGGACTGGCCATGCCAGGGAGCAAAGGAAAAGGCCAGGCTAAAGGAAGGTGGTCAGAGTCTTGCCCTGAAGGACGCCCTTGAGTGACGTGAGATGCAGGACCCAGACGTGGCCCCTAAATGCACAATTACAAAGCCAGGCAGAACTGGCCACGTGGGCTAAGGCCATCACGTTGCATGATGGAATCCCTCCTTGTACTTTCAAGTATGTAGCAAATGTTATGCAAAATGGAAAATTGACATAAATGAGCTTAAAATATATTTCTTGTATTTTTAGAACACTCCGTGCCAGTAAAGATTAAAAAGCTGAAAAACTACTTAGAACCACTTCTGCATGCTTCAGTATATAACCCTTTAGGTCTCAACTTAAGTATAAAGGTAAGTTGACAGCTTTCTTGTTTTCACTCTGTTGAGTTCAGATATTAATGTCTATCTCTAAACTAAGATTGCTTTTAGTTTTAAAGTACATGTATCCATGAGTGGTGGGAATAAAATATTTCAAGGTTATGGGTAATGGACGTTTCTTTATTTCCTTTGGTGGTGTTATTTTTAAGGTATATGAAAGCTAAATTTAACATTACGTTGCTATTTTGTAAGCTGATGGGCAAGACTGTTTATCAAAGTAGAGCAGAAAGGAGATTTCCAAGAGCTAGGGGGAGGAAGCGAATTCAATATCCTTTAGCTGGGTATACACAGGCACACATCTCCTAGTTCCAGCTTCCCATGGGAACATAGAAAGTTTATACATTGTAGGTGACTCTGAAAACCAATACTAAAATTCAGGGGTATCTGATGATTAGCCAAAAACACCCATGAAGGCCAAGTAAGATTTTATGTTTTTGTTTCTTTCTTCTAAAAACGTAATGACCAAGAGCCTTAGGAGGGAGATGACAATCTTTTCTATACAACATCTATGGGGGAAAGAGTCCTGGTGTAGATCTCTCCTGAAGGGAAGGTGTGCGCTGGTCCTGCTAATGACCACATGTGTTTTCCCCACAGGGCTCTGAGCTTTTTCACTTCAGAGTATCCGTTGTCCCAGGGGTCACCTTCTGTGACTTGGTTGAAGAATTTCAGGTATAGTGAATGCGTGACGTTTCCTAAGCGGTGGTGGCTGGGGCAATAACATGACCAGTGTTAATCCAAGCAACATTAAATAGATAAATGGGCAGAATGTATGTGATGGGTGGAACTTGGAGACGGATCCTGGAAAAGGTGGTGACATTGTCAGTGACGGTAAACCCATGGTGTATGACAGGTGCCAGCGCTGATTGGTGCTGGGAGAGTTTCAGCAAGTGGCTGTATTTGGTTTTGTTTGCTCTCCAAATTTGCACATTTAGCTCCATTTTCTGATGCTTGATGCTCTTCCTCTCACCCCCATGTTTCCGTGGGACATGGGTCTGTGACATTTCAGTTCCAGAGTTACCCTTCCTCTGGCTATTTGAATTGTAATGGGACCTTCCTAAATATTCCAAACACTTTCAAGATGTTTCAAGGGTTGGGAAACACAATCAGTCTCCCCAAATCACTCCCTGAAAGTAACCACTCCGTTTTGCTTATTCATGTAGTGATATCTGATGCCCCTAGGGCATGAGAAGGAGTGGGGACTCAACACAAATGGGTCATGACTCAGCAGATACTGACACCACACTAACATCTCCCATCCCTTCCTGTCCTGCCCCTACGCCAGGGCTGACCCTGACAGTGGGTTTGCACTGCAGTGATGGTGGCCCTGGCAGCAATGCAAACCCTGAGACCACGAGAGAAGACCCAACAAAGCAACACATGTCAGGTGAAGAGTCTGAGGGAAGCCCCCATTGCTTTTCTCTTTGCTCCAAGGGCAACCCCGGTCATAGGGAACAGCATACTAGGACAGGAGAATAAAATTTTCATGGAATCCCAGATCTCTTCCCAGAAGACCAGAGAGAGCAAGGGTCCATCTGCGGCTTCACTCCCCAAATGCCTGCATAGCTAGGTCTGGGCCAGGCCAAAGCCAGGATCCGGGAGCCCTATCTCAATCACTTAGGCCATTGTCACTGAGCTGGGACCCAGAGTGGAGTAGGGACCCAGGGGGTCTCAACCACATCTTCATCAACAGCTAACGGCCCATCTCCTCAGTATTCAGTTCTTTACTTTGATCATTGCACTGTGGTTACTTAAGTGAATTCTTTGTGTTTAAGAAATATGAATTGAGGTATTTTAGGAGTGAATAGACATGGTGTCTAGGAGAGACTGTCTTACCATCCTGTGGGTGAATGTTTCTTTTGGACATGGCTTGTAACATTTGGATAGTCTAAGAAGGTTAGAAGGGAAACGTGAAGAAACAATGTTCTCCTGGACTTGAGCTGTGGCAATGCAGGTAAACAAATCGGAATGCAGAAGTGCTTGAGGTTCCCACTCTCAGAAATAGGACCGACAGCTTAGTTGAGCAGGTGAGAGTTTTACATGGTCTGGCAGGGGGTTGAAATGTCATTAGGTGGAAATGGGCAAGGAAGGCCCTGGGTGGAGAGAGCAGTAGTAGCAAGGAGACAGACGAGGGAAAGCATCAGGCCTGTCTCTTGAGCAGCTCCTGGCCAGTTATATATAAAGAAAACCAGGTAGGTTATGGTCAAATTGTGGAAGGCTTTGAATGTTGGAATGAGAACTGTGTTCCTGTTAGCAAGGAGAAGCTGTTAAACATTTAGAGGGAAAAAAGATGTTTTGTAGACAGACTGGTATTTTATACACAGATTAATTGGGTGATGTTATGATGTTAACATGGATTGACCGCACGGGAAGGTGGCCCTTAGGGTAGCCTGTTTATACAGAGTAAAGCATCAAAGCTCACAGGAGCAGTGTGGAAAAGGCAAGTGGAAAGAAGGGCTGTGGAGGGAATTGTGAAAGCACAGCTGGCATGCAGGGGCTGTTCCTAAGAAAACAGACATCTCCCCGGGTCCCTGGGAGGATGGGGTTCCTTTAGCCTGAGTGAGGCCCCCGAAAGCAGCCTGCCCTTTTTCTTGTCCTCAACATTTCTTTTTTTTTTTTTAAAAAAAGATTTATTTATTTAAAAGTTCGAGTTACACAGAGAGAGATGGAGAGGCAGAGAGAGAGAGAGAGAGAGAGAGAGAGAGAGAGGTTTTCCATCCACTGGTTCACCCCCCAATTGGCCGCAATGGCTGGAGCTGCACCCATCTGAAGCCAGGAGCCAGGAGCTTCTTCTGGTCTCCTACATGGGTGCAGGGGCCCAAGGACTTGGGCCATCTTCTACTGCTTTCCCAGGCCACAGCAGAGAGCTGAATCAGAAGTGGAGCAGCTGGGACTCAAACCGGTGCCCTTATGGAATGCCGGCACCGCAGGCGACAGCTTTACCCACTAAGCCACGGCACTGGCACCCCAGTCTTATTTTTTTACTAGTATCTATTTTGAATTACTTTATAGACATAAGATTAACTTTATACTAAGTAAAGATTTCGACAAATTATATGAAAAAAAAATGTTCCTCAACAGTCAAGATAAGAACTGTTCAAAGTCATTGCATCTTGAAGTTAATTTCACTTTTTTTAAGCATTCTATTTTTTTAAGAAACTTAAATAACTTTAAAGAAGAACCCAAGAATGATACATCTTTTGTGAGTGCTTAGACATAACTATAATTTATGAGACATAAGAATATCCTCCAATTACTACACTAAAATGGAGTAACTCTTTGAGAACAACTTTTACTATTAATTTTTATAACACAATTCTTTGAGGACAGAAGTCCTGCATGAGAAGTTAGTGCACAGTGACTCCTGGCTAATTTTATTTTAAAGAGAGTTTGCTGCATTCACAGTGTTGGTGGCTGAAAATCCAAACAGCACAGTGCCAGCTCTAGCAAGGGCCCCAGGTAAACAGTGGGAGAAAGAGATCATATCTACAAACAAAAACCCAGAGAGGCTGGGCTCCTCCAGTCCCTTCTGAGGGTCCCCAGTGGCCTGACAACCTCCCACTAGGTGCCACCGGTTAAAGGTGCATCACGAGGGCTGGTGTTTGACACAGACGTTTGGGATGCACACGTGCCATGTTGTAGTGTCCACGCTACAGTCCCCGCTCTGCTCCCAAGTGCAGCTTCCTGCCTCCCTGTCCCAGGCGGGGCAGCAAGTGAGGGCTCTAGCGGTTGGGTCGCAGCCACCCACATGGGAGTCCTGGACTGAGCTCCTGACTCCTGGCTTTGGGAACCAGCAGATGAGAAATCTCTCTCTCTCTCTCTCTCTCTCTCTCTCTCTCTGTATATGCATCTTCTTTTCAAAGAAATAAATTGGTTAAAATGTTATCTTTATTTATTTCATTTTATTTGGAAGGCAGAGAGAAAGGGAGAGAGAAAAAGATCTTTTATCCACTGCAGCAAGCCTCTAACCCATGAGCATTTAGGGGACACAAACCATACCCCACCGTAGCGCGAGGCGGTCTGGCTTCTACCCCAAAGGGGAAACAGTCACTGGGCTTGAACACTTCACTCTCTCTTCGCTGTTTTCACCATACAGTGACACTTATCCTTGGTTCATGTCCAAGGAAAATAACATGTTTGCGCTCTGTCAATAACCCAACATTCCTCTAAGAACTTGCTTCCAATAACGATCAATCCAGAAAGAAGAAACCTTTGAAACATGAACACCTGTCACACTGATGCTTATTTACAAAGAGAACTTTCTAGGGCAAGGGCAGCCTGAAAGAGTGCATCCAGCCCTCTGCCTGCAATGTCCCTTCTCCGACCTCTCTTCTGTGAGTCAGTCTATCCTGCAAGATCCAGCTCAGGAAGCCCATTCCCCAAGCGCCCAGGGCAGGTGGGCGGAGTTCCCTCCTCTGTATTCCCACAGCCCTTAGCCCATGTCTGTGTAACTGAACACAGAGTGTTCTTCTGCCTTGGAAGCGCTCTATCCATGAGAGAGAGGAGAAAGGCGTAGGACAAAAAGTGGAACTCGTGTTCCCTACCTGTCGTGTGCACGCGGCTACCTGACAGTGCGTCTCGGCTCTGCGGGATGCTGAGTGTGTGTAGCTCTGGGCAGGATTCCCTAGTGATCGACTTCACAGTGCTCTGCACTCCTCGGTTCAGAAAGCTCAAGGACTTCGCCTCTGTTACAGATCTACGTGGATGACGCACCCCTGCCATTCCCAGGACACACGCTCATCGCTGTCGCTGCCGCCGTGGTGCTGGGGGGCTTAATTTTCACAGCGTTTATGTTTCAACTGCGTGACATCCACCCGTGGAGTACGTTCTGGAAATGGATGAGGACCAGAATGAGTGCCGCTTAGCTGTCACATACGGAGGTCTGGAGAGCGGACCAAAGAAAACCCCAAGTTCTTTTTATTTCCTAGTTTTACTAAGCGATTCCTAGAACGGTATATTTGAATTTTAAATATGCAGTCAAGATAAAATACTACAGAATTACCATTGCACTCAGGTGTCTCTCTCTCAGTGGGTTTGCTAGTCCATTTTCTTATCTTGAACACCTAGGAAATTGCTCATGTCAACACTTATATGCGTATGGAGGATTTTCCTTGTTTTAAAATGTGGAATGGGTTTTCTGTGTTTTTTGGCTCTTTCTGACTGGAGCCCATTCTGTGGGGTCTGAACCCCTGCCCTGCTCTTTCCAGAATGGGACTGTGAGGGCCAAGGCCCATGTTGGAGGCAGGGAGGAGCCCGAGCAGCAGGTGTGCTTTCTTGCCTCATGGGAATTAAAGGGGCAGCCACTCGAGTTCCTTGAGGCAACGTCAACACCTGATGGCAGAACAAAAAGAGAAGGAAACGTGACAATGTGGGGAGGTGATACTGCCTTTTTTTAAATAAGAGATTTATTTATTTATTTGAAAGACAGAATTACAGAGAGGCAGGGAGAGAGAGAAAATCTTCCATCCGCTTGTTCACTCCCCAAATGGCCGCAATGGCCGGGGCTGGGCAGATAGGAAGCCAGGAGCCAGGAGCTTCCTCCAGGTCTCCCATGTGGGTGCAGGGGCCCAAGCACTTGGACCATCTTCTGCTGCTTTCCCAGGAGCATTAGCCTGGAGCTGGATTGGAAATGGAGCAGCCAGGACTTGAACCAGTGCCCATATGGGATGCGGCTTTACCTATTACATCACAGCACTGGCCCTGATGATACTGCTTTATAAGCCTGCGGGCAGCGTGTGTCTGTGTTCTCTGAGTACCTGCTCCCACATAGTTAGAACATGACCAAGACATTCGGTGATCAGCGAGGTCATGGGCAAGCTCCCCGGGACCTGGGGGAGCGATGCATGGGGTTGCGGTGCTAACGGTGTTGGGGGGTTCAGCTGGACGTGAAGGAGGAGCCGGGGGTGGACCATACAATTCCGGATCAGAGACGTTTCTCCTTCCACACCTTGTCCTGCCAGGCATAAGACCCAGTCATTGACAAGGTCTCAGCCCCACTGAGATTTGAGGTCACCTTCCGGCGGGACGAGTTTAAGCAGATCTCCAAAGCCAAGAGGCCAACAGGAACTCAACCAAAGGGAAGTCCTGGGGTGTCTGTACTAAAAGTCTGCCATTTAGGGAAGGAATTAACCGAATTGTTGCCATGATGACAGAGCATTCGTTTATTTATTGAAGATTTATTTGCTTGTTTTTTATTTATTTGAAAGGCAGAGTTACAGAGAGAAAAGAGAGACAGGGAGAGATCTTCTATCTGCTGGTTCACTCCCTACATGGCTGCAATGACCAGGGTTGGGCCAGGCTGAAGCCAGGAGCCATGAGTTTCATCCTGGACTACCATGTGGGTGGCAGGGGCCCAGAGACTTGGGCCATCTTTCACTGCTTTCCCAAGTGTATTAACAGGGAGCTAGATTGGAAGTGGAGCAACCAGGGCTTGAACTGGCACTCATAAGGGATGCCAGCACTGGTCCTGACAGAATATTTAACTGGTGGGGATTTCTGAAAGCAACTAAGACATGGATCAACTTTCCCATAGCACCAAGGTTAAACAAAATCAGCAACAAAACAAAACCAAGAATCAAGATCAAACCCTTATAGAATAAGAAAAACAGAAATACCCAGAACGCCACAATCAGGAGCTGGGATAGCGTCATACCTGCACACCCCCCCCCCCAACCAGGAAAGGGCGTGGCAGGTTCCAGAGTCTCAGGACCTGGGGCAAAGACGGGCGGGCAGCGGCTCCCAGCCCCACCCTGCCGGGCCTGCTCCCATGAACTTGCCACTCTGCACAAAACTTGCTCGCCTTGTCTCCAGGTAGTTAAGGGCTACCGCCATCTGGCCTTGTTTTGTTGTTCTGTCCTCTGTATTTGTTCAACTTTTTGTTGCTATAATAAAACGCCTAAAGCAGCCCAGCTTTATAAAGAAAAGAGGCCTGAGGCTGGCACTGTGGTATAGCGAGTAAAGCCACCGCCTGCAGTGCTGGCATCCTCTGTGGGCACCAATTTGAGTCCTGACTGCTCCACTTCCAATCCAGCTTCCTGCTAATGGCTTGGAAAAAGCAGTGGAAGATGATCCAAGCCCTTGGGCTCCTCCACCCACACTAGAGACCTAGATGAAGCTCCTGGCTCCTGGTTTCAGCCTGGCCCAGTCTGAACAGTTGCAGCCATTTGGGGAGTGAACCTGTAGATGGAATATAGCTAGCTAGTGCTAAACCACAAAATGAATTATTTAGACCTATAATAGAGAAAATAATTCTTATATTTCAACAAAGATAGATTAGATAGTCTAGTAGAGAGTTAGCTTGTTTTCAGATAGACAAATCCAGCAACAAAAAACAAACTAGTGAAATTCAGTGGTAGGAGCAAGCATTTGGCCTAGCAGTTAAGACACCGGTTAGGGGGCCAGCATTGTCGCATAGCAGGTAAAGCCTCCACCTGCAATGCTGGCATCCCTTATGGGCACTGGTTGAGTCCTGGCTGTTCCATATTTGATCCAGCTCTGGCTAACTTCCTGGAGAAAGCAGCAGAAGATGGTCCAAGTGTTTGGGCCCCTGCCACCCATGCGGGAGACCTGGATGAAATTCCTGGCTCCTGGCTTCAGCCTGCCCAGCCCTGACTGTTGCAGCCATCTGGGGAGTGAACTAGTGGATAGAAGATCGATATCTCTCTCTATATATATATCTCTCTCTCTCTCTCCCTCCCTCCCTCTCTCTCTCTCTTCTGTCTCTGCCACCCAAGCAGATAAATAAATAATTAAAAAAAAAAAAAAACAACTTAGTGGAGCCAGCACTGTGACTTAGCAGGTCATCCCATATGGAAGCCAGTTTGAGTCCCAGCTACTCCACTTCTGATCCAGCTCTCTGCTGTTGCCATGGAAAGCAGTAGAAGATGGCCCAAGTCCTTGGGCCTCTGCACCCAAGTGGGAGACCTGGAAGAAGCTCCTGGCTCCTGGCTTCAGATCAGCCCAGCTCCAGCTGTTGTGGCCATTTGGGGAATGAACCAATGGAAGGAAAACTTCTCTCTTTCTCTCTGCCTCTGCCTCTCTGTAACTCCTGCCTTTCAAATAAATAAATAAATCTAAAAAACAAAAAAAAAAAAAACAAAACACCTTAGTGATAGGGAAATCCAAATAAAAATAACAATGATGTGATCCCTTTACTAAGATACCCATTCCCTGTAGGAATGTATGGGAAGTGTAACGCTGGGGGTGGGGGAGGGGGGGCAGGTCGGCTGCTGGAGCCTCCCTGAAAACAGATGGCTGTCTCCTTCCTGGGAACCAGCCCATAGGCACAGAAGCACGTACGTGTGTATTGAAGCTGACTGTAGCATTGTTTGACTTCACAAGAATGAAACAAGTACACATCAACATCTATCACAAACTGTGACCTCCCCAAACTACAAACTATTACACAGACATTATGTGGAGAATGAACTGGGAGACACTGTTTGACTTCCATGAATTTCCATGAGATGTTGTGGAATAAGAAAAGCAAGACAGAGATGAGTGTTTACTGTGACTCCAGCCTTATAAAACAACATGCTATCATACACATGTGCTCACTTCTTGTACGAGTAAGCATAAGGAAAGACAGAATGAGTCCCTGTGCATGAGCTGGGCGGGTGGGCATGGGGAGTTTGTAGTAGACGAGAGGAAGCAACCAAAAAGCTAAAGAAAAAAAACCATTTTTTAAAAAGTAATTTGTATTTTTCGTAAAGTTACATGTTTTTGTAATTTTATCCTCAACCAATCCTCATTATTGGTGGAATCTGTATTTGCAAATTTGCAGCCTCACCAGAATTTATCTGTGATCCCCTCATCAATCCTCAGTGGGGCCTTCCTGATCCCTTGTGGGCATATGCATGCGCAGAGTGGCAAACACTGGCCCGAGGCGCCTTCCTGCTGGGGTCAAACGAGGCGTCACCCCACCTTCTGTTTCAGCTCTCATACAGGAAAGAAGTGGCCTCGGCAGGGACTATGGGCGCCAGGCTTCCGCGCTCCGCTGTGCTTTCTGCTGGAGAGTTCTCTGTTTAGAACGACCCCCAAGCACGGTGCTGCACTGCTGGCTCGCGTTCCTATGTGTGACTGTGCCCGACAGGAAGACCTGTATGTTGGAGAATCTTCCTTCAGGTGCGAGTCACAGCATGGCCCGCCAGGAGTTCAATGTCAGTGAATCAGCCTTACGTCCTGGTGTCTTTAAACAGAACACACAGAAACCAAGGTAACATACGGATCAGTTTGCCAAAGTACTATGACCGGAAGCTCCAGGGAGCCTAACCCTGTATTTCTCCTGGGAACATTGATTCAGTATTTGCTAATTCATTGTCTGCAAGTGACCTTTGACAAGGTAACCACCACACACAATGAGAACTGACTGGATGTAGCACACATATTTTAAGAGATGAGGTAAAGGAGAAATTATGTTTTTCATGCAAAAATATGGCAGCGTTATTAACAGCCATATATTTGTCTTATTCACAGTAATGTATTTAAATCTCTTTCCAGCTTTATTGAGTTGTAGCTGAGAAGTAAAACTGTATTGTTTAATGTGTAGAAAGTGATGATTTGATGTGTGTATCATGAAGATTACCACAATTAAGTTAAATGACCTATCACCTCCCGTGGTTAGCAGTTTGGGAAGGGTCTTGTTTTTATGGTGAGAACCATTAGCTGCTAACATCCACTAAGTAGTTCTAGTGGAGTATTGGTTTCTCTGGATTTTTTTGTACTCATACAGAGATGCCAAGTTTTAGTCTTATGCCAACTGCTACTTCTTATATTTTTATGACAATATATTACCAATATTTTCAAAACAATAGGAAAGGACCTCTTTGTAATGTTTGGGAGTTGAAAAAATACCTCAGGACACAGACCACAAAATTAACCGCCTACACACAGGCGGGTGCGTTCTTGAACCCAGTCATTTGTTCTGGAAGCGCCCCCTTGTGGACGCTGTGTTCCCAGGCGCGGCGGTTTTCCGGGTCTGTGGAACGTGTGCCACAGCGGCAGAGCCCCCTACAGGGGCCGG